CATTTCCGGTTCATTCAGCAACAAGGTATTGCACAGCTACTCAGTGCCAATCACTGCTCCCAAGTTCTGGGAATATCTGATAATGAACAAAACAGACAAAAAACTTTGTCCTCCTGAAGGTTACATCTAGTGGATGCTAAGGAGTTACTCTTTTATTGTAAGTAGGTTGGGGAGTAAGCAAAGGTATAAACTTTGGATGCCTATGCATCTTTTTTTTTTTTAATATTTTATTTATTTATTTGACAGAGACACAGCGAGAGAGGGAACACAAGCAGGGGGAGTGGGAGAGGGAGAAGCAGGCTTCCCGCAGAGCAGGGAGCCCGATGTGGGGCTCCATCCCAGGACCCTGGGACCATGACCTGAGCTGAAGGTAGACACTTAATGACTGAGCCACCCAGGTGCCCCTGGATGCCTATGCATCTTAAGATTCTTTTAATATTCCTATTTTACATGCAGTAGAAGACAGTTGATTTGCACATAAGTTAATATTTTGTTCATTTAACTGTGCCTCACTCTAGAAAACTTAATCATGAAAAGCTGAATTTATAAAACATGTAAATTAGAAAATATTTTTACATTACAAAAGCTTTTTAAACCCAAATTTTGGATAGTAGTATAATTTTTTCAAAAATTTTTATTTATTCATGAAAGAGAGAGGCAGAGATAGAGGGAGAAGAGGCTCCCCTTGGAGCAGGGAACCTGACACGGGACTTGATCCCAGGGCCCTGGGATCATGACCTGAGCTGAAGGCAGATGCTCAAAAGAATGAACCACCCAGTGGTTATGTTATAGTAGTATATATATATAATTATAGGAATATATTAATGACTGTATTTTCATTCTATAAATAGTAAAACCACTTGGACACATAGCTCATGGGGACAGGGATTTTGTTTTATGCACTGCTGTGTTTCCAGTACCCAAAACAGAGCCTGGCACATGCATATACATATATAAAATCTGGGGCACCTGTGTGGCTCAGTCGGTTGAGCGGCTGCCTTGGGTTCAGGTCTTGATTCCTGGGACCGAGCTCCGCGTCGGCCTCCCTGCTCAGCGGGGAGCCTGCTTCTCCCCCTCCCTCTGCTCCTCCCTCTACTTGTGTGCTCTCTCTCTCAAATCGTCTTTTTTAAAAATTTAAAAAATTAGGGGTGCCTGGGTGGCTCAGTCGTTAAGCATCTGCCTTTGGCTCAGGTCATGATCCCAGGATCCTGGGATCGAGTTCCGCATCTGGCTCCCTGCTCCGCGGGGAAGCCTGCTTCTCCCTCTCCCGCTCCCCCTGCTTGTGTCCCCTCGCTCTCCCCTGCTGTATTCCCTCTCTCGCTGTGTCTCTCTCTGTCAAATAAATAAAAAATTTAAAAAATTTAAAAAAAATCTACCATGTCATCACTCAGTAAATATTTGAATGAATGAATGAATAGAAGAAAAGTTCTGTTTGGAAGATAGAAAAGAGAAATTTCCCATAATCTAAGCATCTGAACACTACAGTGATAGTATTATATTATCATGTTATAGTCATTCTAATATCTATTAAATCCCTGTTCTGTGCCAACTACTGTTCTAAGATCTAAGGAATAATAAATTAATTGTACCTGTTTTCTCAAAACTTAAATGTAGTTTGGAAATAAACATATAACAAACATGATCACCAAAATTCTTTTTTTTTTTTTTTTTTAAGATTTATTTATATGAGAGAGAGAGAAAGTGCATGCGTGCAGTTGCGGGCTGGGGCGGGGGGCTGTGTTGGGAACAGAGGGAGAGAATCTTCAAGCTGACTCCCTGCTGAGTGTGGAGCCTGACACAGGGCTAGATCCCACAACCCATGAGATCATGACCTGAGCTGAAACCAAGAGTTAGATGCTTAACTGACTGAACTACCCAGGCACCCCACCAAAATTCTTCTAAAACCATACTCCATCTGATGTACAAAATTTGCATTACAGCAGCATGTTTTGTTCACAACATTTATGTACCTGTTTTATGTGAAGCCCTCCTCTCATAACTTAGTTGCTGTTTTAGTTTCTTTGATGAACAGATCTTCATTTATAAATAGACTATTTCTCCAAAGTTCTTATTTTGAAATTAGAATCCTTTTTGTTATAGGAACAGTATTACAAATTGCTTACATTTGTAGCTGGTTCATAAAAGCCAACTTTACTTAAAATATACATTTACAATAAAAACATAAAAATTGTTGTTTGCATGCAGTATTACATGATAATTAAATAAAACAGAAGTGAATCTATCCTAAAACCTGATATATGAGGGAGAAATACTTAGAGAATATGAGAAAGTAGATGGAGTTTAACAGGGAAATTCTGAAAAAAGACATCTTTGAAGACTTCAGAAGCTAATCGCACAAATTCTTAAGCTTTCACTTGAGAGCACTTGTTTTTCCTTTTTCCTTGATACGTGTATTACGACGTAGTTTCTTATGTTTATCAGCTGGATTCAGGCTTGATTTGATCTATAGGTAGTGAGAGAGCAAGAGAAAAAAGGGACATTTTCCTGGATAAAAAGAAAAAAGAATGAAGGAGATTTCGTGTATATGTATGAGTGCTGGGAGAGAGAGCAGTGTCCTGAAAGGCAGGCAGTGGGCCACAGCATCCTTTGAGCAGGTGTGAGGCAAAAGGAAGCATGAGGCAGCTGGATGCTTGTGCATGCAGAATTGTACACATTGGGTGTTTGTAATTCCAGTACCTTTCTGTTTAATATGGTTAGAGGTATATCTGCTTTGTTTTACTTTTATGGAGCATATTGAGTATTCATCTAACTAACATTTATCAAGGACCACGTAGTCTGGCTGGGTTTTTTTTACGTTTTTATTTTAATTCCAGTTAATATACAGTGTTATATTGGTTTAAGGTGTATGATATAGTGATACAATTCCGTACATGACCCGGTGCTCATTGAGACAAGCGTGCTCCTTAATCCCCATCACCTATTTCCCCCATTCCCTCACCGACCTTCCCCCTGCCCCCCCCCCCCCGCCGATAACAATCAGTTCTCTATAGTTAAGAGTCTGTTTCTTGGTTTGTCTCACTCTTTTTCCCCCCCTTTATTCATCTGTTTTGTTTCTCAAATTCCACATATAAGTGAAATCATATGGTATTTGTCTTGCTCTGACTGACGTTGCATTTATATACTCTAGATCCATCCGTGTTGTTGCAAATGGCAAGATTTCATTCTTTACTTTTTAAAAATTTTATTGTTAATCCCCATACATTACATCATTAGTTTTTGATACAGTGTTCCATGATTCATTGTTTGCGTATAACACCCAGTGCTCCATGCAGAACGTGCCCTCTTTAATACCCATCACCAGGCTAACCCATCCCCCGACCCCCCAAGATTTCATTCTTTTTTATGGCTGAATAATATTCCTGTGTGTGTGTGTGTGTATCTGTATCTCCCTTTTTTTTTTTTTTTTGAGATTTATTTATTTGCAAGAGAGAGCACGATGGGGAGGGCAGAGGGAGAGGAAGAAGCAGACTCCCCACTGAAAGGGAGCCCGACATGGGGCTCAATCCCAGGATGCTGAGATCATGACCTGAGCCAAAGGCAGATGCTTAACTGACTGCGCCACCCAGGTGCTCCTGTATCTCCTTTATCCATTCATCAATCAGTGGACATTTGAGCTGTTTCCACATCTTGGCTATTGTAAATAATGCTGCTATAAGATAGGGATGCATGTATCCCTTTGAATTAGTGTTTTTGTATTTTGAGTATAAATACCCAGTAGTGTGATTGCTGGATCATAGGGTAGTTCTTTTTTTTAACTTCTTGAGGGAACTCCACACTGTTTTCCAGAGTGGCTACACCAGTTTGCATTCCCACCAACAGTGCACGAGGGTTCCCCTTTCTCCATGTCCTCACCAACACCTGTTGTTTCTTGTGTTGTTGATTTTAGCCTTCTCACAGGTGTGAGGTGATAATCACATTGTAGTTTTAATTTGCATTTCACTGATGATGAGTGATAATGAGCTTCTTTTCATATGTCTGTTGTCCATCTGTATGTCTTTCGAGAAATGTCTGTTCATGTCTTCACATTTTTAAAAATTGGATTATTTGGATTTTGGGTGTTGAGTTTGGTAAGTTCTTTATATATTTTGGACACTAACCCTTTATCAGATATGTCATTTGCAAATATCTTTTCCCATTCCATAGGTTGCCTTTCAGTTCAGTTGATTGTTTCCTTCGCTGTGCGGAAGCTTTTTATTTTCATGTAGTCCCAGTTGTTTATTTTTTATTTTGTTTTGCTTGCCTCAGGGGACCTATCCAGAAAAAAGTTGCCACAGCCTCTGTCAGAGAAGTTAGTTACTGCCTGTGCCTCTCTAATCTGGCTGCTTTTTAAAAAAGATTTTGTTTGAGAGAGAGTGAGCAAGAGAACAGAAACTGGGGGAGAGGCAGAGGGAGAGAGAGAAGAGGGCTCCCTGCGAGGCTCGATCCCAGGACCCTGGGATCATGACCTGAGCCGAAGGCAGACGCCCAACCGAGTGAGCCACCCAGGCGCCCCGTAATCCGGCTGCTTCTTGAAACACATTATTTTGAATTACTGTTAGCAGCATAGTGTAGAAAGAAATTGAGAATCCAGATTCTCTTTGGATCTTTCACTAAATAGTGATGTGGCCGTGAATAAATCACAGAAATACCCTCCACTGGTGAAGGATCATATGTGCAGGTGCACTTAATAGCTTATGGACAAGTTACATTCTTTATGACTATAAGGCAGTCTTGTTATTCCTATTTTCTGTTGCAGCCACATACAGAAAATATCTCATTTCCTTCTGAACACCCACTTCAACCCTTGATATTTTTCTTCTCAGCATTTCCTTGTTTTCCTCATAAATTTAGATCATGTGGGCAAATTTCTTTGAAGTGCTAGATGCATTAAGATTAAAATTAAAGCAGTAATGTTTTGTTTCTTCAACTAGGGGCTCTTAAAATTTGGCAAATACCATGTGTTCTCTCATTTCCTAATTTTTGTGTATGTTATATCGTAGCACACGTCACATGGAGATGGGCGGCAAGAAGTTACCTCTCGCACTGGGCGCTCTGGGGCTCGGTGTAGAAACTCTATAGCTTCCTGTGCTGACGAACAGCCTCACATCGGAAACTACAGACTGTTGAAAACAATCGGCAAGGGGAATTTTGCAAAAGTGAAATTGGCAAGACACATCCTTACAGGCAGAGAGGTAAATATTAAGCCTAATTTCTGTTATGACACTTGCTCTGTTTAGTTCCATGTGAGAGAAAGAGGAAGATAATGTATATATTTGAGTTAATTTCTAAGTTAATTAAATGTTTTTAAGAACAAGAAACTTACATACTAATTATCTGGGAGTTCTTTTGCTTTCCCATTTCTTTAAATTAAGTATTACACTGAGTATTTGAATGAGCTTTTGCCTTAAAAAATGGGTCATGTTTTATTCTTTTTCAGTGTAAACCTCTGCCACCAGAGTAAAAATTGTTCTGAACTTCATGTATAAGTTCATAGTACTTGTAAATCAATAGTGTTTTCTGTTTTTATAGATTTTATCCTCAAGAAGTTTCTTCATTTCCCCAAATAAGCTTTTCTTATAGCTTATGTTTGATTGGTTGTTGTGTAGGAAGGCATATGCTTTCCTGACTTTTGTGGTGATTGGCTTTCTGTTAAACCACATTCTGTATTTATCAAAAATACATTGGTTAAAACTACTAAATTGACTCCTTCATGTTCTACATGTACAATATAGAACCTGTTTTGCTTTTTTGACTTCTTTTATTTAGATCTTTATGCCTGCTCTTCCCTCTGCCTGAAATACACTTCACCCTTTTGTGCAGGGATCATTTCTGGGAAGGAGTTGTTGACAGACTCCCTTTTCCCAGGCATGGGACTCAGGTTAAAAATCCTGATACTGCCCCTCAGATAGCATGGAACTGCTTATTTCTCCGTCTTTCCCCTCTAGGCTTTAGGGCAGATGTCCATACTTAACACACTGTTTAGCACATAGTAGGTGCTTAATAAATATATGTTGAGTGATTGTAATGGTACTTTTGAATGAAGCTTTTTATTTTTTAAAAAGATTTTATTTGGGACGCCTGGGTGGCTCAGTCGGTTAAGCGGCTGCCTTCGGCTCAGGTCATAATCCCAGGGTCCTGGGATCGAGCCCCACATCGGGCTCCCTGCTCAGTGGGAGTCTGCTTCTCCCTCCCCCTCTGCCTACCTCTCTGCATACTTGTGTTCTCGCTCTCTGTCAAACAAATAAATAAAATCTTTTTAATTAATTAATTAATTTATTTTTTAAAGATTTTATTTATTTGACAGAGAGAGACACAGTGAGAGAGGGAACACAAGCAGGGGGAGTGGGGGAGGGAGAAGCAGGCCTCCCGCGGAGCAGGGAGCCCAATGCGGGGCTCAATCCCAGGACCCTGGGATCATGACCTGAGCCGAAGGCAGACGCTTAACAACTGAGCCACCCAGGTGCCCCAATAAAATCTTCTTTAAAAAAAGTTTTTGTTTGTTTGTTTGTCAGAGAGAGAGAGCACAAGCAGGGGGAGCGGCAGGCAGAGCAGGCAGAACAGGCAGAGGGAGAAGCAGACTCTCTGCTGAGTGAGGAGCCTGATGCGGTTCTCCATCCCAGGACCCCAGGATCATGACCTGAGCCAAAGGCACACGCTTAACCAACTGAGCCACCTAGGCGTCCTGGAAGAAAGCTTTTTAAAGAAATGTTTTCCCTGTACCAGAGCCTCCTGATAGGTGTGCCAAGACAGTGTTACAGATGTGTCGTGGTATTGAGGCTCGCAGCCTACCATGCCTGGGGCTGCTGGAGCAGGACCCTGGGCCAGCCATTCTGTCAGTAAGCAGCCTCTGTTTGCTGCAATGTGCCTGACAGTTATTCTCATTTTCTGTGTGTTCTGGGAGCTAAAGAAGGTTGGGAAGCACAGGTCTACACTAACTGGAGTTACAGACTTTAAAAGTTTGCCTCTTCATGTTTTGTATCAACTTAAGTGACAAATCACTGGTCAATCCTTGTTGTTGAGATACCTGGGTTGCTTTTAGAGTCAGAAAAAGCATGAGTGGGTGGGGCTTCCCTTGCTGTCCTTGATCAAAGCTTTCTGAAACAAGGCAAAACCTCTTGAGTTTAGTCCCCACCAATTCTAGGTGGTTACTCGGCCAGTTTCCTTACATGGGCAGCTGGTAAGTTGAAAGAGGAATGGGACAGACAGACCCTCTCCCCTTCTCCTTAGCTGCAGTTTGGCCTACCGTGTTTTTATCTAGGAGGTTCTCTTTCCAGAAAGGTTTGAATCTGACCAGCAGAGTGGCTTAATTTAAAATTTTTCTGTCCTTTTTTTGTTTTTTTAAACTTTGAATTAAACCATTTTACAAAACCGTTCTGTTTTTTCCCTATTGTAGGTATTAACCAGAAGCATGGAAAATGTAAACATTATATTTTATATATTATAACATTATATTTCTATATTATAGAAATTCATTATGTAGGAAGTACAGGTTCCTTGAAATTTCTCTCCTCAAAGAGGATCACTTTCAGTAGTTTGGTGTATATTCCCACAGTTTTTTATATAGACATTAACTTTTTGTTTATTTTAACAAAAAGGGACTCATGGACATAACAGTAATTTTCTTAGCAATGTACTTGACCATGTCTGGATCTTAGTGCTCATAGATCTGACACATTCTATTTCCAGTATGTGCTGGCGCCATGGTTTATCCCCTGTCAGTGGGCATTGAGTGGTTTCTGATTTTTTTGCCCCTGTAAACACCTGCAGTGAACATTCCTTAACATAACTCTCTACCCTTGTTAAGAGAGTTTCTGTAGGATAAATTCCTAGAAGTGGGTGTCCTGGGTCAAAAAGGATGAATATTTGACATTTTAATAGGTACTGCTAAATTGGTTTTGAGAAAATGTCAGAGTACTTTATTATCCTACCAAACTGAATGAGAGTATCCATTTTTCTATACCCTTACTAATACTATATAGATAATTTTCTGATGGACAAAAAATTATATTTTTTTAAAGCTTGCTTCCTTTTGATAACTAGATTGATGATATTTTCATGTATTTTTGTCATTCATATTTGCTTTTTAAAATAAGTTTCCCATTTGTATCCTTTATCTATTTTTCTTTTCTCTTTCAAATCTTAGTGACTGACTGGGGCGCCTGGGTGGCTCAGTCGGTTAAGTGTCCGACTCTTGGTCAGGTCCTGATCTCAGGTTGATATTGAGCTCTGTGTCGGGCTCTTTGCTCCGTGGGGAGTCTGCTTCAGATTCTCTCTCCCTCTCTCTCTCTTTCTCAAATAATAAGTAAAAATCTTAAAAATAAATAAATGTTAGTGATTTAAACCCATTATGTGTTTCATGCATCAGTCTGATCTGTCTGGGTTTCATGACTTGGTGAGAAAGGTTTACTTTGTCCCAAGATCTAAAAACAAGGTTCTGTATCTTTTTCAAACACTCCTATGACTCCCGTTTGAATGTTTCATTCATTTGGTATATATTTTGGGAGATTAATATGAAATGTAGGGATCAAACTCTTTTTTTTTTGACCATGTGGATTACCACTTGTCCTGGGATCATCTGTCCTTTTCCCCAATTGAGGATACCTGCTTTATCACATACCAAATTCCCATATATGTCTTTTTGTTTCTCTGGTCTGTTTGTTTAGTCTTGTATCCATATGGTGCTAATTTTGTTACTGCAGCTTTGAATTGTACATTTGTATGTTTCAGAGTAAGTTAAATGCTCTGCAGATTATTCTTATTTTTTAAAAACTGTATACCTCGGGGCACCTGGGTGGCTCAGTCATTGGGCGTCTGCCTTCGACTCAGGTCATGATCCCTGGGTCCTGGGATGGAGCTCCGCGTCAGGCTCCCTGCTCGGCGGGAAGCCTCCTTCTCCCTCTCCCTCTCCCCCTGCTTGTGTTCCCTCTCTCGCTGTCTCTCTCTCTCTCTGTCAAAATAAATAAATAAAATCTTTAAAAAAAATAAAAAATATAAACTTTATACCTCTTCTTGCCATTTACTGTGTTAGATTTATTTTAGAATCAAGATACTGTGTCCCAAAAATAGTCTTACTGGAAATGTGATAAGATTAATTTTGATTGGAATTAACTGGATTTTATAAACTGATCTGGGGGAAATTTGCTATTTGAATGATACCAAGTCCTTCTATATAGGAATATGAAATGTGTCTCAATTTTGTTTTCAGGGTTTGTAATTTTCTTCATCTAGGTTTTTCATCATTCTTTTTTTAAGGGGATTACAAACAAATTCTACAGAGTAGGTGAATAGTTTTGCATAATTCTTAAGTTCATTCCAAGGTATTTTAAAATTTTTGTTGCTGCTGTGAATGACATTTTTTCCTTAGCTGTTATGAATAATATGGGAAGGCTGTAACATTTGTATAACATCTTGTATCTGAGCACCCTTTGAACTCACTCTCATTTTGGACATCAGAATTAAGCAAGTTTGTGTTATTTTTAAAATTACACATCATTTTTTCCTTTGATGTACAGTTCTCTGAATTGTAACACATTTATAGATTCATGTTACTACCACCGTAATCAAGATACAGAAAAGTAGCTACAGAGAGCTGTCAGGTCAAGCTGTTTTTTAAAGGATGGGCCAAATACCAACATGTTTATCTGTTAATGGGAATAATCTGACAGAAAGGGGGAAAGTGGTGCTGTGGGAGAGATATTTGAGAGGGTGAAAGGAGGTGGCGGAAGTATTGGCCCTGGTAATGTGGACAGTTCTTACACAGAAACAGGAGAAAGGTAGAGGGCACTGGCCTGGGTGCAGCTCAGGACTCTGTGTGGTGGTGTGGGAGCTTGTGGAGGTTTTCTGCTTGTTGCAAGTATTTTTTCAGTAAAATGGAAAGCAAGATCATCAGCTAAGAGTGTGATTATCAAGGAGATAGGAGATTTTAGAGATGTGAGAAGTTACAGTAATTACTGGGCAAGCAGAAGAGTTAACGGACTGGAAGAAGGTAGTAGAATTGCCAGGTGGCCTTAAGGCTTCCTTAAGGGGATCATGGATTTAAAGTGGGAATAAGCAGCATGGCTGGAAATTACTCTTCAGCAACATTCAGGTACCCAGACACAAGCATGGCATTTATAGATAGTTGGGATTTTTTCACACTAAGTGTAGAGAATGGGAACAGAGCAAGGGCATTGATTTGGAATACCTAAGGGAG